CCTTGTTGTTGCCATGTTGTCATTTTCACTGCATTTTCATTCCCTGTTGTTGTCATGTTGTCACATTGATTGTTTGTTGGCGCATTGGCTACTGGTTGATTTGCACAAACTATCCGAAAACACCGTTTTACTCTTAGCTATCAAAGGACGTAACCAGTGGCGTGCCGTCATTAGAAGCGTTGGAAGCGCCGCTTCCCTCGTATTCTCTAAAAAATAAATAAATATTAATTTTAATTATATGAAAATAATCGCACAATATTTTATTATAACCGCATTATGTATCTTATTACACATTTCTATACTACACGTGGAAAAAAAATTGCTATTGTATATTAGAATACAATAGCAATTTTATTAGCAATAAACCCGTAGTGTCTTTTTTTTCTGCTATGTCATCTGTGTCAATCTGTGTCAGCTGTGTCATCTGTGTCTTGCACGTCGCTTTCTCTTAACAATTCCATTGTTACTTAACACTTCCATCAACAATGGAAGTGTTAAGCCTTAATCCTGTCTCTCTCCCCCATGGGGAGGAATTTTCGAAAAATCCCTTCTTAGTGTGCGTTCTCGTAACGTACCCTAACTGTGCACCAAATTTCAACTTTCAACTCCTAACCGTTTGGGCTCTGCACTTACTATTATTATTATTATCATCAACCCGTCTCGATTATATATATATAGATTTATCATACGATAACAATGCCTCTTTATATGTTATAAAACATGTTGTCTCATACAATAAGTCATAGACTATAGGCAAAATAGTTGATCAGATATGTTCTGTGTATTTGACGTCCTGTTGAACTGGGAGATTGAAACGAATGGTCCAATTATGCTACTATATAGAATACAATTATGCTATATTATGCTTGCTGTTAGAAGATCTCCGTGCTTTTAACATTCTTTGAAACCTGAGCACAGCGAATACTTATCTTCTATTTTTCCCTGTTAACAAAGATAAATAAATATTGTTGAAATATTACTTATTGTTGAAGAATAGAAATATTGTTACTGAATAAGAATACTGAACAAGAGGGGTTGTGAGCTAGATGTAATTTAAAGTGGTGAAAATGTTCACCCAAAAGGTAATATCACATGTACGGAAAAAGATTTTTACTGTATAAATATTACAGCATGTAGCTGATATTGTAACGTATTTAGAAGTCATAATAAACTTTAATAAAATAAGAAATATTGTTAAACAGTTGTTGACTTTCTTTACATGTTTTTCAAGGCTGGATGATCGGCAGTTACGATGACAGCATAACTGGGAAACTAAAATCAAAACTGGCCAAGTCGTAAAACCCCAGGAAGTATTTCTTGGGCTGTTAGTCATGAATATGACTAAACCGGACTGTTCATAAAATTTCGAACCTGAAATACTTGTTTTGATCTTGTACTGAAAATACTTAAAGCTGCATCATTTGTTTAAATAATTCAGTGTTAATAAATAACTTATAATTAAAAAAATTCTTCATTAATAGGCCAAATTGCATCTTGTTCTTTATTTTTATAGATATTTTTCTTTAAGAACTGAACATTCGTCTTGAATATAATCATATAAAGAAATGATAATTATACTTAGTTGAGCAATCGCTGATCAAAATCTAATGTTATCATCAATGTTCAAGTTAGATAAGTCGTTGTTAAATTAGCGAATTAACTCTAATGTGGCCCTGTTTTGGTTTTATTTGTATACGGAAAAGTGACACGTAGAAGACTTTCCGATAGGGAAAGCCTTCCGGGAGATCTTTTGCGGAAAATTGCTCCTATTAAACGTCACTAGTGTGAAGAAAACCGAAAAACATGGCCATCCTGTTGACTAGGCACGAATCCATGACTACTATCAGTGTTCAGTGGTTTTATCCACTTTTAATAACTCGATATAAAATAATTTAACAAGAGGATGTGATTAGGTCGCTAACTCGCTCTACATTTAATAATTAATTAATTTTAATTTAAAGTTAGAATGTTCTGGAAGAAAAGAATTGGCCCGGAGCTGACTTGAACCCGCAACACTAGCTAATCATGACGGAGTAATACCAACTGAGAGCAATAGGGAGCCGTAGGTGCAAAACTTTCTCAGTCGGTATGGTAAGTAACCTGTGTTGTAAATACGTGAATGCTTGTCTTTAATTACTTATATTATATTTTAGTTCACTTGTGAACTAGGACTTATTATACAGAGGAAAGAAAAACACACAATTTCCAATTAAAATATGTTTTATATGGAAATTGTGTCTCTCTTCCCTCAGTATAATAAATCCTAGTTGAGAAGAAAGATCAAAATGGACAAAAGTATAAGTAACCTGTGTGGTTACATCTAAATTAATATTGATAATTCTGGAAGCAAAGATCGGATAAAGATTCGGCTAAAGTAACTGGCCGACAGTCCTTCACTATGTTCTTCTCGTCGAAGATGCGCAGAGACGAGAACTTCGGCGTCTGTCTGGCCCAGGGGCGGACGAGATGGGGTCGCTGAGCAAGGCGGGCGATCGGAAGAAGTTAGAGGCGGAGTCCAAAGTTCTTGGCGACGACACACCACAATATAAGTCACGACCTTTCGTGGAATATGGAGGAGAGCCTCCCTCCGACCTTGAATTTCGGATTTTTATAGCTTTTTCTGCCACTATTCGGACTTCTGATTGGCCCCTCATCTTCTTCCTCGCTTCCCGATTGGTCTCTCTTTTGTTTTGGGGAAAATCGAGACCGACTCGGGTCACGGGAAAGGTCCGATTCCAGGTATCTGCTCGACGCCTTTCTGTCGATTGTTCTTGAGGATTGTTGACAAAATTGCAAGACTCGCGCTCATAATTTAGCTCCGTAACTCGCGATTTCTCTCATCTGGGTACTCGAACAATCATATGCAATGATTTATCTCTCTTAATTAAATCTTTCCCTCTTTTCCAAAATTGTTTCCCTAGATTGATTGTTTATGATCGTTTGGGTCAAAGTTCTATCTGTTTATGATCATTTTTGTCTGACTTATAACTTTTCATTTTGACATTGGCAGTTCATTTAACACGTGTTGGAGTCATCCGGGACTCGTTGTGTATATTTTGTGCCGCGTTGTTTAAATTATGGGATTTTCCTCTCCCTTTCATATTTAATCTAACGTTATTATTTAATCATAGGAATACCGCGATTTACATGATTTCGGATCTCGGTTGGGTCCTCATACAACGCATCTGCACAATTAGTAAGTGTCGAGAGTTCGAATTTCATTCCGGATCGATTCTTTTCTTTCAGAACATTCTAAATTTAATTTACAACAAAGTAAGAATTAAGAGATTATGGGAAAAATCAATTAATGCCATCAGCATTTGGCAAGAATTCTCCAAATTCGTGTTGAAATGATGCACAAATCACGATTTCTGTCTTCATGTAGAAAGTATCGATAAGCGGCATGACTCTATTGTTAACAGGATATATGATAATGAATTATAGCTTTTACATATGTTTTTTTTTCTTATTTTTCTAATAAAATAAATACGTTTAAGCTCACTCAAAAGAAGGGTAATTTGATTTTTTTCATCCAATCAATTATATAAATTGATATTTACTTAATTCGATAAATTCAAACCCAGAACATTCACGTTTTCGTAACGCCTTTAAATCAGTTATATTAATTCTATCACACCAAACTCTATTAATAATCTTAGAATATCATTAAATTACATTTATTTACATTCGATTTTAAAATATTTGCTCTCCACCTCAAATTAGTAGTGGCTTGCACCTGTACATCATACTTTTTCTTTAACAATACAGTATATCTTATCTCATATATTTAACTTAATTAAGGAAATACGTCAGTAAAAATGTACAGGTTTGCAATTTGAAATTTGCAGCCCAATTACGTGTAAAATGTTTATTAAGTAAAGTATACTGTTCTCCAGGGCTCGACTCTTGTCGAGACTTTTCGGCATGAGTATGGATGGATTTTTATCATTCGTACCCGAGTCATTCGGACGAGGGTTGTGAATTAGGCATAACTGTTTTGCTGATTCATTTTTTCGACATCAATTTGACTTTTTTTTTGTTTGTTTGTATTTAAAAGTGATTATTTGATAAAAGCTGCGGGCTTCCTTACAAAAGTCTCGGGCCCCAAAGGTTGGAGAATACTGAAGTAAGGCAAACACAACACATGGACAATGTGCAAAGGGGAAGTGCCACCCGGAAGGACTTTTCATGAGACTATATTTAAGTGAAGATAATTAGTAGAACTTCACAGACTGTTAGGAGAGAACTCAAACCAGTGTTAAGTAGTTTTATTTACTCAACCAGACCACTGAAATTGCAGCAGAGACCGAATTTTCGTTGAAAAGTGACAATAAAAACTCCTTGACTTTAGAATTACGATTAATTATTAATTATGTAGGTGCTGATCTAGCATTATATGTAATTAAGTATTGAAAAAACTGACATAACTTTTCTTGAAAATCTACAATTTTTTTTTCATAAATTTATAATTACATAAGCATTCTTTCGCTTATTTTTAAGGTGTTTAAAATATAAAATATTCATTTATTTAATAAAATTCATTTGCAATCTTTATAAAGACAGGCTGCTCGAGGTAATCTGAAAAAAAAAAATTATTGCATGAACATATTTATTTTCAGAATATTAAAATATAACTAATAGGAATTATACTTACGATAATAAATGTTCAATACATTTCTTAGTACACTCGGAAAATTTGAATTTGTTAACTTTATCATCGTCACTTCCCATTATATAACCGTCGTCATAGGGACAATTTTTGGCACCCGGATTATTAGGAATGCTCATTTCTTCGGGTCCTTCCCCATCGTGTGGGCTTCCGATTCTATAAAAACAGTTTGCATATTTTCATCTCAACAATACTTCGTTTAAAATAATGTTTTAACCTACTTACAGATGGGCCGTTTCGTGAGCAACGGTATCGACTCTTTCGTTGTAATCCGAATCGTCTTGGGCCACTCCGACTTTGTGGCATTTGATACAAACACCTCCACCCTGCGAAATACCTAAAGAAATAATTTTCTATATAATATTTCCAAAATTATCAAATTTTATGTAGAATAAGTAAAATGTTTACCCGCAGTATTAAAAGAGACGGTACCATCATCTTCTAACTCGCCTAATTTACGACTGAATAATATAAATATATTAATTTAACTCTGTATGAGTTTTTTAGAATGCATTTCAATGTATTTAAAAAAAGTCATCTAGTGTAGCATTATATACATAAAACTGTATTGACCTCATGGCTGACTTATATAAACAGTATAATTTCCGTATTAAAAGCGTACGTATATTTCTTAGAATATATTAAATATAATAATTACCTAAGTATAAGCATAATTATATCTGCCTCCTTTGCTAAACCACTGTCATTTTTACAATAATATTTCCCCATATTTACAACTAGATCAACCGGATCAAGATGTTTTTCGTGACCGCGAATGGCACTATGTTTGATGAAAGAAGGTTCGGTTGCTATCTGTTGTCGAAATCAAATTTAAATAAATGAATCTAATTCTAAAAAATTATAAACATTTTCAATATTACCTTAAATGCTTGAATTCCCAGTAAACGAACTTTTATTCCCAAGTTTAATTTTTCCAGTAGGTTTTGAACCTAAATTTAAAATAAGAAAAGGAAGATCATAGTGAAATTATATTATAATTTCAAACTAAATCCTGAATTTCATAACCTACCCCAGTAAATAATATGGTTACGTATTCTGTTAAATCCTTATCTGTATTAAAACGCTTAGTAAAATTACTTTCTGTTACACACAAATATTCTATAACAATACATTTATTTTCCTCTGCTGTTTTCTCTACGTTTTCCAGTTTTCTATTAATATCAGTAGTTACAACTGAAAATATATGAGAAATTTTATAAAGTTAAAATAATGCAATTTTGTATATACTCAATAGATTTATTAAAATGCATCACCGTCATTCATAAAGGAGTTTTTGTCACTTATAACTTCCACAATTTGATGCGCTATTCTTCCATCTTTAACCATTCTTCCCGACTCGTAAGGTGCTATTCTCATATTCGAATTAACTATTCCTTGCTGGAGTACATTAATTAAAGATATCAGTGAAAATTTCTGCAATGATATATAACTTTTTTTATTAATAAATTACAATAGTAAGAGGCCCGTCTTCATCGATCAAAAGTGCTGCTCCCTTATCACTATCTCTGTAGATTCTTCTTTTCAAGTCTTCTACGTCGATCTTAAAATATTTAAATAATAAAATAATATTTATTTTTCGACTGCATCTTTATTTTTAATTTTAGATAAACTGTTATTATCTTAAACTTTAATCAAATTATGACTTACTGAATAATACATTTGGTCATTTTCGTCTACGAGTGCGAAGTTTGTTGCCAATATTTCGCCTGCTGGTTTCAGTTTCAATTCGATGTCTTGGTCCAGCGCTTTAAATTTAATTGTCTTTTCTCCAGATCTGGAAGTTTCCACGGATGGATACACCACATCAACACGACCTATATATATCAGTAAACATAAAATTTTCAATCTTATTTTCATGTTTATAATTTACCACCAGTGGCC